TAATCATTCAGACACTCTCTTAACAAAGAAACCACCTAAGAAACAACCATTTCTTTAAAACTAGCCCCCACTCCCCTGCCAGAGCCAGGGATAAAACCCAGAGCCCTGGTTCCCAGCCCCCTAGCTTCTCTAACCCACCAGATCCCACTCCCCTCCCACATCTGGGGCTCGAACCCAGATGTCCTGAGTCACCCCTCCCCTGCTCTAACCACTAATGCTGAGGCCTCAGCAGGGATCAAGAGCCCTCCAGTCCCAAGGCTGCAGCGGGGGTCTGGGCGCTGGGGCTTTCCCCACCCTGCCCGGTCCTTCTGCGGGGAGTGGTGTCGGGCCATGGGGGTTTCCCCCACCTTGCCCACCAAGTGCTTCTGCCAGGGCTCCGGGATTTCCGCTAGGGTGGGGCATCCATTTTTCCAGAGGCCCCCAATTGTCCAGAGCCCCTGGGCACAGGCCCCGTCAGCGCACTGGATAATCCGCTATTGCCCAGCTGGACTCCTTAGACCGGTAGGGCACAGAGGGCCAGGTATGCACAGAAATATGGGGTCCAGCAGTACCCCCTGGTCAAATAGCGATGCCACCCACTGCCCCTTGGATGGAGTCATGTGTCCAAAGGGAATAGATCTTTGACAGGGCTCTCAAAGAGTCACATGCTCCAGAGATGCGGCCACGGTGCCTGGCATGAGTGTGACATGAGTTTGCTGAGAGGAAAGGGCTGTTGGATTCAGGGGGCCACTTGCAATCAGGTGCTGCAGACGCTGAGCTCAGAACTGCCCAAGGCCTGGGAGCCCAAGTCCTCCCACAGCAGATCTGCTAAGGGCACTCCTGCTGCCGGGCCTGTGGAGAAACCTCTTCCTGTCAGAACCGATGAGTCAAAGTGCTCTGAAATCCACGTGCCCACTCGGCTTGGCTTGAAATTGGCCGTCTCTGAGCAAGGCCGGGGGCAGAGTGAGAGGGGCAGGTTCAGAGGGTTGTGATCCAGGGCCCTCAGTTAAAGTCGCATGAACAGGAGCCGTTCTTAAATTCTTCACACCGCTCTGAACACCAGTCGCAGACTTGCATTGACTTGGAAAGTGGCACCAAGCCGCAGGGACTGTGCTGGAGTTGGTTGGAGCAAAGGGCGGTTGTTTGATTGGGGACTTGATGAGATGCAGCCGCCTGAAGATGAACTGCTGTTAATATTCACACATTGCACTGATGCCCCCTTGCTGGGGGAAACTGCCTTGAGATCTGGCACTGAGGAATGGAGGCTGGGGTGTGGTTTGTGATGCAAATTTGGGGTCATTTGGTCCAGTGGTTCCCGCGATACAGGCCCCTCCCCCCATACACACACAGATGGTTATAATGTTCTTGGTGCAGAGTGAGGGGAAATAGCAAAGAGGCCGAACTTGGGAAACGTCGAGCCTGGACGGCCCCTGAGCTCAGCTACGCAACGGGACCGAGGGCCGGTGCAGTCATACTGCAAAAGTGAGTCCGCTCCTCAAGCTGTTCGCACCTCTGCTAAATAGCAGTTCACACTTCTGTGGGTACGGCTTCCACCGGAAATTGAGTGTGAGTAACACTCACGTTGAACTGACACATGGGGGCTTAGAGACACAGCCACTGCTCTTTTGAATGAAGCATGGAGATGTTTGAGTTCTTGTTCCTATTATCACCTTTGACCTGGTGTCTTCAGCCACAAGGGGGCTGAATTGGGACCACACATGGCATGTAAGTCCTGTGCCAATAACCAATTATTTTGGTCTCTGGTTTTTCTGAACACCAGAGTTGGTGGTGTGGGGATGACTCATTTCAAATGGCCCCAAATTATTATTATTATTAGCTAGCAAAAAGTTGTGGGGGTGGGGGGTGGAGATTGTTTTAATCTGAACAAAATATTTTTTTTCCCTGAACTTGTTTTTTACACATTTTAAATGAATAAAATGCTGTTTTGAATAAGAAAATTGAAATGTTTTTTGTTGAAAATGTCAGCTTTTTGGTGGTTGAGTGAAACAATTTGGCAAATTGGACAGTAATTCATTAAATGTTTTGGTGTCATTAAGTCTACTGTAACTGCTAAACACCATTTCCCCACAGAGCTAGGTTTGAACCCAGGAGTCCTGGCTCCTAGCCCCCTCCCTCACCTCTAACCTGCAAGACGCCACTCATCTCCCAGCAGCAGCAGAAGATCCCAAGAACTCTGAAATGAAGTCAATAGCTTGACACTGATTTACACTGGCTGAGGATCTGGTCTGTTCACTCCATGCCCTACTGCCTTAGAGACTTAATATTCCAAAATAATTGGTGATTATTTGTTATGGTTCTATTTTTGGAGGGTTTCTCAGATGAACACCCTTAAAGAGTCCTGAATTTCCAAAAGAAGGAGCTGAAATCTTTGTGAACATCAGGCCTGTTAGAAAGTGTCTCAAGTCAGTACATGATTCCACGTGCTTGGAACCCTTCAGGTACTAGACCATGTCAGATCTGATTGGGTTTTAAGATATTGTCATACCTAGTACTCAAGAGGTTTAAGAACTAGGCAAATATCTAGAACTAATGCGGTACTACGGAGTGTGTGTATATTATATATCTACATGTGTATGTGTATATGTATACACACACACAAACACACACATTTAAAAACACAATAATACCCCATGAGTTCTAGACACTTGAGTGATTGTTGAACCTCAAACTGGTCCTATGTGGTCTACGATGTCATATATGAGATTGGAAACTAGGACGCTCTAGACCACATAGGGTCTCTTTGGGTTTTTTAATCTTGGCAGACCTAAAACCCAAGAGGTTCAGGAACCAGCCACTTATCTAGAATGCATAGGATCCTATTGGCTTTTGAAACATAAAGTGGTTTGGAAAACATGATGTTTAAATCTAACCTACATCAGATCAGATCGCATTCAAAACACTGACAGACCTGGGACGCAAGAGGTTAAGAACTGGCCAGGATTCCTAGAATACATGAGATCCTATTAAATTATGAATCAGCGAGAGGTGGTATCTGTCATGTTTGGCAGTCTTGTTTCATCTGAACAGTAGCAATGGGAAAAGATTTTTAAAACAGAGGGGCTACGCGCATGTCTAACTTTCCCACAGCCCTCCACCCAGGAGTGGAGGCCCACACAGGCCTGCCTTCCTGAGATACCCCAGTGGGTCCAAGTGACAACTGGTACAGCACCCCAACAACATCTGCCTGATGTCTGGATAGAATCAGAGATTCCAAGGCCAGAAGCAGCATGGTGGTCCCCTAGTCTAACCTGAATTAGTCCTTAGTTGAACTAGAGCAGATCCATTAGAAAAACCATCCAGTCCTGCTTTAAAAATTGCCAGTGATGAAGAATCAACCAGGGAGGATCTTTTAAACTCTTTATCATCTTTTGGATCTGCTTGGCCCCAGACTTGGCCAAGGTTTTGTAATTTAGCTGGAGCTGGCAGGTGAGATCTTCACAGTTACTGTGACCTTTGACCAGAGGTGCAGAGGGCAGCCCACACTGAAAATGCCAAGATCAGGGCAGGCTGCAAAAAGGAGAGCAGATTCTCCCAAAACTGGTGGTTAACACTGTAGTTAGATTCACCAACCAGTCATAAGCTGTGCTCCTGATCCACCGCACTGGTTATCAAGAAGACAAGAAAAAAGAAAGAAATCCCACAGCCCCCTTTATTGCATTCCAATCTTAGGTTTCCAGTCAGAAAATAGGTTCAGTAAAGTGAGAAGTTACTTAAAATCCTATTAACTATACAAAATGTTCTTCTAATCCCCAAAGAGCCAGCCACATTCCCAGATCAATACTGGTTTGGATCTTACCCAAAATAAAACGCTGCCAGCCAATTCTTGATGGGCCATCGAACAACCTGGACAGTGCTGATGTAATCTATCTGAGGATGTCACCCAGATACACAGCACAGGTTTGAGATATCAATATACTACACATATTTACAACTTATGATACAAAAAGGATGCATACACCTAAACATGCATATCATATTTATCAAATGATAACTTTTCCACTGATAGCTTACATGGCATATCTGGTATGTTTCAATACAATTTCGTATCCATAATATTATGAATGATCACCCATATTCCATACAGAGTTACTCTTATTAGCTTGGAGGTTCTCTCTTCACCACCCTGAAATGTTCATGGGCATTTGGATTCTCTGGAGCACCTCTTTATTCTATCATCCTGTTTTCCTTACTGGCCACTCTTAGGCTAGGTCTACTCTACAGCGGGGTTCCGACCTAAGATACGCAACTTCAGCTACGTGAATACCGTAGCTGAAGTTGCGTATTTTAGGTCGGCTTACCTGGTGGTGAGGACGGGGGAAAGCCGACCGCTGCCGCGCTGCCGCCGACTCCGCTACCGCCTCTTGTCGAGGTGGATTTCCGGAGTCGACGGCAGAGCGATCAGGGATCGATTTTACCGCGTCCTCACGAGACGCGGTAAGTCGATCCCCGATAAACCGATTGCTACCCGCCGGATCGGCGGGTAGTGAAGACGTAGCCTTAAACTAAGCCAGAGCCTCCCAACATGAAATATCCCAGTGAGCTGGTCACAAGGTGTTTGTAAATTATGTCAGAGATGCCCCACAAACCTTACAGAAACTATGTAGTTCAAGGAAAACCTGGGAATCATTATTATTATTTTTTTCATTTCAGTAGTGCTGGGAGCCCCAGTCCTGGCCCAGGACCCCGCTGTGCTAGGTGCGGTACAAACACAGAGCAAAAAGACAGAACCAGTCCCAGAAAGCTCAATGTGTAAGAAGATGAAATAGATGAAGGAGACAGGTGTTTGTTCCAGTTTTGCCACTGGACTGCTGGGTGACCTTGGCCAAGTCACTTCCCCACTAGAACGTATGGGACCTAGAACGTATGGGAATCTAGAATCCAGGGACACTGAGGGGTTTATAAACATTGAGATACCTCGATCCCATCAGGTTTCAGAACCAGCAGGAATCTAGGAACAAAGGGGATGCCAAGTTTTCAACTCTCCCTAAGTCTGGGTACCTTCAGACCATCTCTTCTTTTGAGTTCTCAACTTCTGACCCCTGTCTTCCATTAGACTCAGGGGCACTGAGATCATCGACAAAAGCCTCTTTGGCCAGAGTGAGAAGAGACGTCCTGAAGACCTGCCAGAACTTCTCCCCCACAAAGAGGTAGAGGATGGGGGTGAAGCAGGCATTGAAACAGGATGTTAAGGTGTAAATTACCAAGAGGGCGTCTGTCACTGACTCTGGCACCTCCTTCTCATAGAGCTTCAAGCCGTGGTAGAGGTGGTAGGGCAGCCAGCCAAGGAAGAAGGAAACCATCGTGGCCATCATGACTTTGAAGGGCTTCCCTGCCCATGTCAGTTTCTTCTCCTTCATCTTCATCCCCACGCGGACATAGCATCCCACGATGGTGCAGAAGGGCAGCAGGAATCCCAGCAGGAACCGGACCATGAAGATGGCCAGGTGGACCCGTCTGCCCAGGTTCCGCGTCTCAGCTCCATTCCAGTTCCCGGAGATGTTGTAATTATTGATGCAGGTAATCCTGCTCCTGTCCACCACGCGGGTCTCCCGGAAAGCCAAGTAGGGAGCACTGAGACTGAAGGAGGCCAGCCACACGCCCATGACCAGCTTCCATGCCCGGGGCATGGTGCGGTGATTCCGCGACCAAATGGGATGGTGAGTGAGGGTGTAGCGGTCCAGACTGATGAGTGTGAGAAGGAAGACGGAGGAGAACATGCCCATGGAACCGAAGGCATTGAGAAGCTTGCACATGGCCATGCCAAAGACCCAGTGGAAACCCAAGAGGACGTAGACGGCGAAGAAGGGGATCAGCATGGTGAAGAGAAGGTAGCAGGAGATCAGGTGAAGGAACCAGAGCGTGGTCACCGTCCTCCTCATCTTCAGCCCCAGCACCCACAGGAACATCCCGTTCCCCACCACACCCACCAGGAAGGTGATGAAGAGCAAAACAGCAGAGGCCAGGTGAGAGATCTTCGTGATCTCTGTGGTCTTGCTGGAATTTGCCACTGTGGTTGGTGGGAGTGCCATGATATCTTGTTCCATGGTACCCTGGGAAGAGACAGAAGAGGGGTTGGAAGGGATGACAGTGGAGGCAAAAAGGGAGAGTGGAAGAGAAGTGATTAATACCAGATTGGGGTAGGAAGGTAACATTGGACAGGACCTCACTGGGCACCCTTTGGTCCTCCAGAATATCCAGGCTGGATATTCTCAGAAACTGGGCTATAGCTGGTGGAACTCACTGCTACAGGATAGAGCTGTGAGCAATAGAGGAGGACAAGGGGGATAGCAGACTTGGGAGGAGTGGAGAAGGGGACACTCTAGTAGATCAAACATACAGCTATGCAGAGAATACCACATAGCTGTGATCTGGATGTGTGGCTGGCTCAAGGGAACAGGGAATGGGTCCTGGGGCCTTTCCCCTCTAGGGTGGCCAGCTCCAATCTGGCCCCAGGGCAGGGGATCAGGCCTACTCAGTTGGGGGTGCGGGGGAATTGGTGCTGTTGACTCCTAGCATGCAGGAGCTGGTGCCAGTGGAACTCACTGCTACAAGGAAGACAAAACCGCCCCTCCCCCACCCATCTCTTGTGCTTATCTGCCAGCCACAGGAACTGCTGCTACACCCTGACTCATGAGAGTTTGCAGGGTCCTTCTCACCCTCATTGTAACACAGGAAACCTCAATCCACAGCCTCATTAGCTCTGTAGAAAGGCCTAATGATTAGAGAATGCTGGAGGGGCTGGGAGGCAAGACTCTTGGGCGCTGGGAGGGACGTGGGATCCTGTTTCTTAGATTCTTCTAATGGGGAGCACCTCATCTGATTAACATGAAACAAGAGCGAAAATTCACCCACATTACAGATCTCACCTACTATCTCTGTCTACTGAGTGCCCCATGTTAACCCCAGTGCTACCCAATGGCAGGGAGTCTCACAGGCCAACACCACCGATACCCAGTGGCAGGGAGTTTCACAGGCCAACACCACCGATACCCAGTGGCAGGGAGTTTCACAGGCTAACACCACTGATACTCCATGGCAGGGAATCGAACTGGTTTGCCTTTACAATAGCAATAGCAAATGTCTGTGGTTTCTAGGTGGCCTTAGCAGGGAAATTCCCCTTCAAACCCAACAACGTCAGACTCACCTGGGCAGCAAGTGGTGAAAACACATACCCAGCCCAGAGACTCGAATGATGTGTATTTGCCCAGCAAAGCGTCTGTTTGTCTGTCCCCGCCTCAGTACTGCCCTGTGTGTTGAGTTCACTCCTCTTAACTCTGTGTCTACTACATGCTCCGCCCCCACTTGCTCTCTAAATAGAAAAGCTGCAAACCATAAAGGGAAATGATCATTCGGACACTGTCGTAGCAGAGCAACCACCTAAGAAACAGCCATTGCTTTAAAACTAGCCCCCATGCCTCTGCCAGACCCAGGGCTAGAACCCAGTGGGTGGTCTAGTCATGGCCAGAAGCCCCACCTTGCTAGGCACTGTATAAAGAGAGAGGGTAAAAAGACAGATCTTGCATGAGGGAGCTTACTGTCAGGGTCGATAGAGACCTGGACCAGGTCTCAGGAGGCCTTGGTACTATTCCTGGCTCTGCCACTGGCAGACTGAATGCTCTGGGGCAAGTCACTGCCGCATTCTGTGCCTCAGGCCTGGTCTACACTAGGCTTTTATGTCGAATTTAGCGCCGTTATATCGAATTAACCCTGCACCCGTCCACACCACGAAGCTATTTAGTTCGACATAGAGCGCTCTTTAAATCTATTTCTGTAAACCTCCCCAACGAGAGGAGTAGCGCTAAATTCGACATGGCCATGTCGAATTAGGGTAGGTGTGGATGGAATTCGACGCTAATAGCTCCGGGAGCTATCCCACAGTGCACCACTCTGTTGACGCTCTGGACAGCAGTCCGAGCTCGGATGCTCTGACCAGCCACACCCCGGGAAAATTTGAATTCCTTTTCCTGTCTGGGCAGTTTGAATCGCAGTTTCTGTTTTGACACCGTGGCGAGCTCAGCAGCAGTGGCAACGATGCAGAGCTCTCCAGCAGAGATGGCCGTGCAATCTCAGACTAGAAAGAGGGCCCCAGCATGGACTGATCGGGAAGTCTTGGATCTCATCGCTGTGGGGAGATGAGTCCGTGCTTTCCGAGCTGCGCTCCAAAAGACGGAATGCAAAGACCTATGAGAAGATCTCTAAAGCCATGGCAGAGAGAGGATACAGCCGGGATGCAACGCAGTGCCGCGTGAAAATCAAGGAGCTGAGACAAGGCTACCAGAAGACCAAAGAGGCAAACGGACGCTCCGGATCCCAGCCCCACACATCCCGTTTCTACGAGGCACTGCATTCCATCCTAGGTGCGGCCGCCACCACTACCCCACCCCTGACCGTGGACTCTGAGGATGGGATATTGTCCGCGGCCGGTTCCTCAGCGGACGGGGAAGAGGAGGAAGGAGATGAGGAGGACGAGGCAGTCGACAGCGCTTACAACGCTGATTTGCCCGACAGCCAGGAGCTCTTCATCACCCTCACAGAGATCCCCTACCAACCCTCCCCAGCCGTTATCCCAGACACAGATTCAGGGGAAGGATCAAGCAGTAAGTGTTTTAAATATCTAAACATTTATTTATAACATAACTGGCATATTTAAAATATTAACAATAGGTAAAGTGCTTTAAAACATGTAAACATTTATTTACAACAAAACAGGAAGATTTAAAATATTAACAGTGGGTAAAGTGCTTCAAAACATGTAAACAGGAAAGTCCAACAAAACGGGAATCTGTGCAAAGTGTATCATGATTAGTCTGTCTTTGGGCGCTTCAATATATAGTCTATTTTCAAAAAATTTCACAATGTCCGCTTCATGATTATACTGCCCAAAACGCTGCACTCTTTTGTCCCTCCAAGGGCACCTAACCCAAAAACTGGTCAATGTATCCGGGGATAGAGGCGACATCCTCCGGGGAGAACTCCTCATAGGTCTCCTGCAGGTGTTTTTCAAGCCTCATGAGCAGGTTCCTGGGCAGGGAGAGCTTGTTAGGCCCCCCGTGGTATGAGACGTTTCCCTGCCACAACGCCAGCAGGTACTCGGGGATCATGGCCTTGCAGAGCATTGCAGCAAATGGCCCCGGTTTCTGCAGGCTGTCACGAAGCATCCGCTCCTTCTGGCTCTCCGAGACCTTCAGGAGGGTGATGTCTGGCATGACTCCCTGCTGTGAATTAGGTAGGGGAAAGTTAGTATTGGGACTGCTTGCCCGTCCCTTTACAGAACTGCAACCGCCGGTTTACAGCCACGCGGTTTACAGCCGCGAGGGGGTGGGACAGGGCCAGAGTTCATGCTTGCAGGATTGCTGCCAGCAGAGACTCGCATTGCTTTCTATGCGAAAGGAGGCCAGTGCCACTCTTAAAGTTTTAAGCAGCCACAAGTCTACGGCTTACCATGTTTGACAGCTAGACAAAGTCCGGTGTCCTGCCCTGCTCCTCAGCTCGCCACAGCAAGACCGCAGGCACTGTAGGCGAGGGCCGAAAATTCGACCTTGTCCTCAGTGCGCGTGTGATAGGTGCTCTGCATGGTCTTGTTGAAAGACTATGTTCTCTGTTCACAGATACATTGATCTGTCTCAGGAATTCACTCCCTTTTTCCAATTCCCACAGCCACATCTGCCCAGAGGCTAGCGCACATTAGGAGGAGGAAGAAGAGGACACGGGAAGACATGTTTGCTGAACTAATGGGATGCTCCCGAGCACAGGCAGCCCAGCAGACACAGTGGAGGGAGAACTTGTCCCAAATGCACCGGGCAAACATGGAACGGGAGGAGAGGTGGCGACAGGAGGACAGGCAGGCGACTCAAACGCTGCTTGGACTAATGAGGGAGCAAACGGAAACGCTCCGCCGCCTTGTGGATGTTCTGCAGGACCGGAGGCAGGAGGAGAGAGCCCCGCTGCAGTCTCTCTCTAACTGCCCTGCCCCACCACCAAGTCCCATACCCCCCTCACCCAAAGTCCAAACACGGAGGGGCGGAAGGGGCCGTGAAAAATTTCACTCCACCCCTGCGGACTGCTCTACCACTAGAAGGCTCTCATTCCCCAAAATTTGAAAAGTCCTTTCCTACCCGCCTCACACAAGACCCCGTCCAAGTTTCACCCCCCCGTTCCATGTGCGGTTGTTAATAAAAAATAAGTTTTTGTTCATTATTGTTTCCATCCTCTTCTTTTAGATGAGAGTCTGTCTGAAGGGGGGGGAAGGGGCTTGGTAATTGGACAGGACAGTCACCTTTAGCAGGGGGCAGGTCCAGCAGCAGGGCACATATACAGTGCAGTGACTAGTTATCCTGGTCAGTCTGGGAGGTGGTTTTCATGTTCTGTGTGGTGGGGGGGGTGGTGTTGCTCTGTGACTTGGTGGCGGGGGAGGGCAGTTACAGATCTTATGCAGCGGTCCTTACCCTGGATCACAGAGCCGCGCAGCAGGGGATCTGTAACCCTCCTCCCCCTGCAAGACAGTCACATAGCCGACACATACACGCAGTCCCGGCCAGGAGGGCTGGCAGGCTCCGTTGAAACAACCAGTCCACCACCGCGGAGCCTGTCATTCCTGGAGTTTAGAAGCATCATTTGCATCACAACACTAAACCCGCCCCCCGCCACAGTCTGCGTCCCAGGTTTAAAACATTCCCGCGAAAACAGTAATAAAGACAACGGTGTCCATTAACAAAACAGAACAGATTTTATTTTTTGGGAAGGGGGTGAAGGGGGTATGTAACTGGAGAGGATAGTCGACGGCAACTGGGTAAAGAAACGGGGGCAAGTTCAGCTTCTGTGTCCACAAACTTAAAAGTCACTGGGTACCCTGCTCAGCCTTGAAACTGGCTTTCAAAGCCTCCCGGATGCACAGCGCGTCCCGCTGGGATCTTCTAATCGCCCGGCTGTCTGGCTGGGCGTAATCAGCAGCCAGGCTATTTGCCTCAACCTCCCACCCCGCCATAAAGGTCTCCCCCTTGCTCTCACAGAGATTGTGGAGCACACAGCAAGCTGCAATAACGATGGGGATATTGGTTTCGCTGAGATCACAGCGAGTCAGTAAGCTTCTCCATCTCCCCTTGAGACGGCCAAAAGCACACTCCACCACCATTCTGCACTTGCTCAGCCGGTAGTTGAAGAGTTCTTGTGCAGTGTCCAGGGCCCCAGTATAGGGCTTCATGAGCCAGGGCATTAGCGGGTAGGCTGGGTCCCCGAGGATCACTGTAGGCATCTCCACATCCCCAACAGTTATCTTGTGGTCCGGGAAGTAAATACCTTCCTGCAGCCGTCTAAACAGACCAGAGTTCCTGAACACGCGAGCGTCATGAACCTTGCCCGGCCATCCGACGTAGATGTTTGTAAACCGTCCCCGATGGTCCACCAGTGCTTGCAGCACCATTGAAAAGTAGCCCTTTCTATTGATGTACTGGCTGGCCTGGTGGCCCGGTCCCAGGATAGGGATGTGAGTCCCATCTATAGCCCCACCGCAGTTTGGGAATCCCATCGCAGCGAAGCCATCTATGATGGCCTGCGCGTTTCCCAGGGTCACTACCTTTGACAGCAGTACCTTGACGATTGCCTTGGCTACTTGCAGGACAACAACCCCCACGGTAGATTTGCCCAAGCCAAAGTGGTTCGCGACTGACCGGTAGCTGTCCGGCGTTGCAAGCTTCCAGAGGGCTATGGCCACTCGCTTCTGGACAGTCAGGGCTGCTCGCATGCGGGTGTCCTTGCGCTTCAGGGCAGGGGACAGCAACTCACAAAGTTCGAGGAAAGTCCCCTTCCGCATGCGAAAGTTTCGCAGCCACTGGGATTCATCCCAGACCTGAAGCACTATGCGGTCCCACCAGTCCGTGCTTGTTTCCCGGGCCCAGAATCGCCGTTCAACAAAATCCACATGCCCCATTGCCACAGTGATGTCCTGGGCGCTGGGGCTCGTGGTTTCTGACAGCTCTGTGCTACTCTCCGACTTCAGGCCCTCACGGCGGTGCCGTAGCCTCCTCGCCTGATTTCTCTGCATCTGCCTCAGGGAAAGGTGTATGATAAGCTGCGAGGTGTTGAGAACGGCCACAACTGCAGTGATGGTCGCAGCGGGATCCATGATCGCAGTGCTGTGGCGTCCGCGCTGTCACAGATCAAAAAGTGCGCGAACTGATTTCCCGCCGGCGCTTTCAGGGAGGGAGGGAGGGAGGGCGGTAGTGACTGACGGATGACGACAGTTACCCAAAAGCACCCTCGCCACATTTTTTTACCCAGAAGGCATTGGCGGATCGACCCAGAATTCCAATGGGCGGCCGGGACTGCGGGAACTGTGGGATAGCTGCCCACA